TTTTTTTTTTTTTTTTTTTTTTTTTTTTTTTTTTTGTGACCGGTAAGGGGATCACAACCCTTGGCTTGGTGTCGCCGTCACTGTGCTCAGCCAGTGAGCGCACCAGCCATCCCTATATAGGATCTGAACCCGTGGCGGGAGCGTCGCTGCACTCCCAGCGCCGCACTCTCCCAAGCCACGGGGCCGGCCCTAACTTATGTTCTTTCTATATAATCACCTCCTCTGAACAGCGGCAGCCCACATTCTCAAGTACCAGGTTATATTAACGTATTTGCTTTCAGGAGTCCAAAATTCAGGTTGAAGCTCACTGACCTTCATCAAATACAGCAAAAAGCAGTACAAATTCATGTAATGTCTGTGTCCTTTCTTTGGCTAGACTCCCTGAAAAAGAAGTGAGAGCATTTATCTTTTCTTTAAAAATCCCATCATATGAAATCACCACTAGGAGGAGACATTTCCTCATCGACTGCTTGAGAGTAAGCGCGAATGCAGTCCTTTGTCTCTCGTTTACTTTGCCATCACATTGTTTCTTGGATGTCAGATCTTCTATACCGTATGTTTCTAAAACTACCTGGGGTAAAAAATTTTCTTTTTAATTTAAAATTTGTTGCAGACCACTACTTTTGCAAAAGACAATAAAAATGGATTACTAGAAAAATGAAATTAAAAAGACATGCAAAATGCAAGCCTATAAAATCACACACTCTCTCTCTCTCTCTCTCTCTCTCTCTCTCTCTCTCTCACACACACACACACAGCAGAAAAAAGAAAAATTACAAAAACAGTACACATTGTTCATGGAAAATGTGCATATAAGCAATTAGTACAGATAATTTTTATTACTCTTGTAGCTTTTCATATTTCAGCAACTGTAAATAAGCAAAAAAATTATGAGTCAAATAACAGTCCATATGAAACACCTATAGTCACATTTTAAATGAGCACCATGTATAGCAGCATTTAAACTTTTAAATGCTACAAATGAGCTTGCTTCATGCTTTAATTTTTGAGGGTTTTTTTTTTTCCTTTTTGTCTTTTTCTGTGTCCGGCAACGGATCGCAACCCTCAGTGTCGCCCCCGTACCGGACCGGGACCAGCAACGGGATCGCAACCCTCGGAGTTGCTCCTGCGCCTCACTCAGCCAGTGAGCGGGAACCGGTCTGTACGTGGGATCCGAACCCTCGGTGGGAGCGCTGCTGCGCTTCCCAAGCGGCGCACTGTAGCAGTGCACCACCGGGCCGGCCATAATTTTTGAGGTTTTAAACTGTCTTTCTTAGCATTATATTTCTTTATTTGATTGCAAGTTTTGTTTGCAATCTTATTTTGAGCAGGAAGATTTTGTTTATGACATTCTCCCTTTCTTTGTCTCTCTTGCACCCTTAATGCTTACAAATAAAAATGACCTTGGGCTAAGAAAGTAACAAAACGTGTGCTAGCCCTCATCAGGCTGGGATAAGAGACATAGATAAGGCAGCTGCAACGTGAACGGCACCATCTGTCCCAAGCACGACTGCCAGTGTGTAAACTCACCGAACAACAGCTCTTCTTTGAGTGACTCTTGCTTTCTTACCCAACTGGTGTCTAAACTCATACACTGTCAGAAACACTGTTTGAAATTTTATCAATAAGAATGAAACATCCCACTCTTTACTGAATTATCTAAACTACTTTGACACAAACAGCCTCAATTCATTTATTTATTTTTTTAAAAAAAGATTAAAGGAGATAAACATTTAATTATACATTTAACATTTTCTAAATTTTTAATTGTGATAAAATAACATATAACAAATTTACCATAATAACTATTAAGTGTACAGTTCACTAGTGTTAAGTGTGTTCACACTGTTGTGTAACCAATATCCCGAACTTTTTCATCTTGCAAAATTGAAACTTTGTACCCATTAAACAATAACTTCATATTTTCCGCTCCCCTCAGCCCCTGTTTCTATGAGTTTGACAGTCCTGATACCCTGTATAAGGGAAATCATCCAGTATTCTGCCTTTTTGTGTCTGGCTTATTTCACTTAGCATAATTCCTCAAGGTTCATCCGTGTTGTAGCATGTGTCAGAATTTTATTCCTTTTTAAGGATGAATAATATTCCATTGTATGTACATATATATTTTTTTCAGATATTTTATACCTCTGAGCATCACTTCTTTCTCTATCTCTTTCTCTCAGAATATTCATGAGATACAAAGCTGATTGTCCCCCCTCCTGCCCATGATATGGGGGCCAGATTCATACTGGGGGCCTATGCATTACCAAAAATTGCTTTTGTACCCTTTGTCCCTCCCAATTATCCCCTCCCCCTCTCCCCCTCCCACTACAATTTGTAGCCCTAGGAATGTGCCCTCCCTCTGTCGGATCATGGTACTACTGTGGTCTTTCTTTCCTGCCTTCCTTTCTCTCTTAGCTCCCACATATGAGTGAGCACATTCGGTGTTTATCCCTCTGTGCTTTGCTTGTTTCACTCAACATAAGTTTCTCCAGGTTCATCCATGTTGTTGCCTCAATTTAAAGGTCAGATACTGAGCTTCAGATAAGGGGCTTCTCGACTTAACATTTCACATCTCTGTTCATCTCTTAGTTTTTTTTTTTTTTTTTTTTTTTTTTTTTTTTTTAAATTTTTTTTATTTTGTCAATATACAATGTAGTTGATTATTATGTCCCATCACTGAAACCTCCCTCCCTCTTAGTTTTCAGGGAATTGGGACACTTCACAGTCTAGACCTCACGTTGGTTTCTTCACATACAATGCTGCTTTACTTCATTTAAATATCACCTAACCTCAACCCTTTCCCCAAATCCTTTACTACTCTATAGTTTCCTTTGTTTGGAAAGATGTCCCACAGTTCCTCTGGTGTGCTATGTCCCTCATTGCCATGAGCCAATAAACCTGATGTTGAACTGTAGTGATCTTTGTTGTCCCCTGTGGATCATTGGTTGAGTAACCTATGGATGTGTTAACAATTCTCTGTCTAGCAAACCATACCCTAGAATGGAATTTTGGAGATACTGGTCCATGGCAACCTTGGAAATACCACAGATCCTCCCACTACGACAAGAGGAAAATTTAGTTTAGTTCCTGTTTGAGGATTGTGTTTTTTTCTCCCCTCTCCTAGGACCTTGAGTTTCCATAAAGCATGACCACGGGCAAAGAGTGAAGAGCAGTTGTGCTCAGTTCCCTCTCAAGAGCAAAGAAGCCCAACTCTATGACACGGGCTCTCAGTCCAGCTGACTCCAGTTCCATCTGGGGGGAGCACTATTCATCCTTGGCCACCACTGCTGGCTTCCTGATCCAGATCCCAGTTGGCCAAGTGTGAAGAAACTGCCATCTTGACCAGAAGTACTGGATTAAAAACTTTAGAGACTCTGAGTTCTGAAAAGATTATGGAGCCCCTCAGCCATACAAATTTAAAATAAAAATGTTACTAAATAATAAAATACATGTAAAGCTGTCTGAAAACACTCTAACTACTTTTATTTTTCAATTATCATATACTGAAAGTTACTTTTCCTTTTGCTGTATATGTCTGACTTTTTATAAAGGTATAGATTCATGAAACTCCACCACAATCAGTATACAGAATAGTTTCAATATCCTAAAACAAATCCCTCCTGCTGTCCCTTTATAGTTATATCTTCTTTCTGTCCATAACCCTTAGCAACCACTAATCTGTTCTACACCAATATGGATTTGTATTTTTGAGAGTGTCATATAAATGAATCATATGATAAATAACCTTTGACACTGGCTTCTTTACTCAGTATAATGCCTTCGGGATTCATCCATCTTGTTGCATGTATCAATACTGTTAGGTGGGAGCCCTCCCAGCACCGGTGGCAGCAGCAGCAGCCAGTGGAACTGCGCAACTGGACGTGGCCCCTCACCCCAACTCGGACCCAGGCAGGGGTGAGCGCCAGCCCCATCCCCATGCCTGGAACCGGTGCCACCCACGTAAGCCCAGCAGCAGCGGCAGCAGCAGCAGCAGCAGTCAGTGGAACTGTGCAGGTGGACGCGGCCTCTCACCCCACCTTGGACCGAGGAGGGAGCACCTATGGGCCCAACCCACCAAGTTTGGCTCAGCAGAACCACATGGCACTAGGGGCTCATTCTATGACCACACAGTCTGGAACTGGAACCACCTTGGTTTAACATAACCCCCACCACATCTACTGTCAAGCAAAGACAATTCACCACCACAGTAGCAACCACGGCCACTCCACAGCCAACCTCAGTGTAATAGAAGAAGCAAAACCCCTACCAAATGACCAAGCATCAGTGAAAAAATACTAGAAGTACAAACAATCAAGAAGAAATGACACCACCAAAAGGATACAGAAATGCCCCAAACTCAGACTCCATGGAACAGGGAATCCTTGATATGTCTGAAAAGGAATTTCGAGCAATGATCTTAAGAAAACTTGAAGAAATAAAGGAAAACTCAATTAGAGAACACAATGAAACAAGAAAAAGCATCCAGAATATGAAAGACGAAATCTACAAAGAGATTAATACCATAAAAAAGAGTGTAGCAGAACTTCTAGAAATGAAAGACTCACTCAATGAAATAGAAAACACAACTGAGAGCTTTAGCAGCAGGGTAGAGCAAGCAGAAGAAAGAATTTCAGAGCTTGAAAATGGTCTTCCTGAAATAACTCAAGTAGACAAAAAAAAAAAAAGAAAAAAGAATTTAAAATAATGAGGAAAATCTAAGAGAGACAGCAGACAACCTCAAGTGCTCTAACAACTGAATTGTGAGTATTCCTGAAGGACAGGAGAAAGGAAAAGGTGTCAAACCTACTCAAGGAAATGGTAACAGAAAACTTCCCAGGTGTAGGACAAGATACAGACCTTCAGATCCAGGAAGTTCAAAGGTCCCCAAACAGATTCAACCCAAAAAGATCCTCCCCAAGACACAGTATACTTAAATTTGCAAAGCTCAAAGACAAAGAGAGAATTCTACAAGCAGCAAGAGAAAAGCGTCAGGTCACTTATAGGGGAACTCCCATCAAACTAACAGCAGACTTCTTAACCAAAACCCCACACACCAGAAGAAAGTGGAATGATATATTCAAAATACTAAAGGGAAAAAAATGCCAGCCAAGAATTATTTACTCAACAAGGCTCTCCTTCAGAAATGAGGGAGAAATAGTGTATTTCCCAGACAAACAAAACTTGTGGGAGTTCACCATGATATGACTAGCCCTGAAAGAAATTCTCAAGGGAGTCCTTCATCTGGAATCAGAATAATGATGACTGCTATCACAAATACACAAGAAAGAGCAAAGCCCACCATTAAAACAAAAATGCCAGGAGAAAGAGAAAGAAGCTAAATCATGCCACCTTAAATTTCCAACTTACATTGAAGAAGAGAAATAAAAGAGGAAGTAATGATCAAAAGATAATTAAATCTAAACAAAAAGCAATTAAATGACAGGAATTAAGCAACACTTGTCAATAACTACTCTAAATGTGAATGGACTAAAC